GGACCTGGTATTTCCCCTTGTTGTACTTCATGAGGTTCCTGTCAGCCCATTTTTCAAGCCAGCTGAGGTCCCTCTGGATGGCAGCACCACCCTCTGGCACATCAGGCACTCCCAGTTGTGTGTAATCCACAGATTGCTGAGGGTGCACTTGCCCCATCATCCAGACCATTGCTAAAGGTGTTTCACAGGACTGGCCCCAGCACAGACCGCTGGCATACACCGCTAATTACTGACCTCCAGTTAGACTCCTGTCACTGATCACCGCTCTTTGGGCCCAGCCCATGGAATTGTAAACAATACACCGCCCACAAAGGCTGCAAGTCTGCCAGGAAGTTCTCCTGGCTCAGAGCTGTCATTGGGAGCGTTGGTGTTACTGCTCTGTCTGATGAAACAGAGATTGCACTCCTAAGGCTTTCAGGCAGTTAACGCACAGTTTGCTCATTTTCTCTACTGGTTAAATGGAGATTTCCATTTCATCGGCAATGACAAAGTTGGTTTTTTTATATCAACGCAGGGTTTTTTTTGGTATCTTATGTGAAGCTCTTACAAACTTCAGTGTTTTGCTAATTGCTCTTTTATGGCCATCTTCTCTTGCTCTCTCTTTGAACAGCTGCTGTTCTTGCAAATCAATTTTGCTATCTGTTCTCACCTCTGTAGCACCCTCAATCCATTCACAGGTTCAGTCAGAATTCAGTCATTAGAAAAGCACCCTTACCAGCAATTTTTCTAATATATTGTCCTAGTGATTCAGAGCTTAGATGAGTAAAAAAAAGGGTATATTATTTTTTTTTTGGATTTGTCTAGTTTTAGTTTTCATTCATTGGATTTTCCTAGATCTTTATCTACTGGGAAAAAAAGAGCCCATGGTGTGTTTTCCATGGGTACTTTATTGGTATCACCAAGTCATCTTGTGTCTCTTCCTTAAAACAAATGGAGCAACTGGAATCTTAGTTTGTCTTCCAGTCTTGGGATGATTCTAGTGGCTCTTACCCAAATGCTTCAGTTTTTCAACACTGAGTTCAGGATCTGTACCACAATTTGTACCACAGTGTGAGACACAGATATAGCACAACCCTGTGTTTTGTTTACTTATTCATGTGTTGTACTGAGATGAACTTCAAGAACAGAAACTAAAGAATTTTCTGTATTCTTCAGCTTTCCTCTCTATTTCTGACAGTCTGCCCATACAGAATTTAAGGACTATCTGCTTCTTTATCACTTCTCCATCTGGAGTTCCATCTCCTTTAGCAATGTGTGGGAAGTTGATCAAGTACACTCAGTGAGAAAATGGAATTGCAGAAACAAGTCCTTTGTTGTCCCATTGCCAGTTTCAGCTTGTACCCTCTTAAGGTGTGCAAGCTCTTGGGCAACACCTGTATCGTGCCTATATTGATCGTGTCTGTGTATTTTTGGTTTTCAAGTCCCTGAACTGTCCTGGAGCAGAAGTCAGGAGTCTGAGCTGCCACATGAGGTGTTCTCATCCTGCAGCTGTGGAGCCATAACTCCTGAACTCTTTTGCACAGTGGAGCAAATTCCATGGAATTGGTGGAGGGACAGCTTTCTGTAACCAACAGCTTTGTGTTCAGCTCATGTCCCTGGGCAGGGGTAGCTCAGCTCTCTCCCAGCACCTCTTAACTTGTCTCCTCCTCCTTTATGGGGAACGTAATGCTGAAAATAACTGAAGAAGGCTTGAAAACCAGATCACAGATAAAAATATAGTTTTAATAATAATTGAGAGTTGTCTGGATTCAGGTCATGATTTTAGAACCCTCTAATTATATGTTTTCTGGAATCACTGCCAAAACAGCTCTAAAGTGTTGCTGTGCTGTGAGCCAGCACACCACTGACTGATGTGGTCAGAGGCTGTTCTGAGGAATTCCATCTTCAGTTCAGAGTTCTTAGTGAATTTTGTACTTGAGGCCATGTTACGTTTTATCTGATAGGAAATAATTCACATGTAACTTCAACTGTTTAGACAAATGAAAAATTGTCTCATATGTGAAGGTACATTAAACTATTTGGTTCCTCTTCTAGAAAACTGAACTGAGAATTTCATGGCTTTACATAAGGACTTCTAGGAGAAGATGGCCCTGGAAAGCGAAGGAATTCTGAATTCTCATAGAATCTCAGAATCTGGGATGATCTTCCTTATGTTACAGTAATATTTTGTACTACCTTTGAGCTAAACATTTAAGGACTAATATTATTGAAACTTGAATGATTCACAGCTCCTAGGTTGCAAAAAAATTTAATAATTCCATCCTCAAAACCATATGAACATTAATTATTTTGGAATGTGCTTGTGGATGGGCCTTCAGTAATTGCTGGCCTTGCTGATGTCAGTTGAGGAAGAGAATAACATCTCTGTAAAAGAGTAAGTTAAAAATATGTAAAACTGTCACTTTAACATAGAAATAATTTTACAACCCCAACTTCCCTGCCTGTTTTTCCACAGGGTTACATAACACCAGGTGAAAGCTCTAATAAAGTATGAATTCAATACATTGCAAGCTGTTGGAAATGTACAATATAGCTCTGAGGAATCTGCTGGTTATTTTTTGCTGCTAAACAAGTGTGGGACAAATTTCCATGTAAATTGGTCGTAAATGAAGTTGAATCCTTCACTTATCCTGTAAAGTTGTAAAGGCGATTTGGGAATTTGTGTATGTTCTGAAAGTTAAAGCCATTAATAACAGGAGGGCTGTCAAATACAGGTTTGGAAACGGTGTGTGGTACAAGGGATCCATGTAAAGAGGAGGCTGCACCTTATCTTTTTAACTTTGATAATTGTACTCTTGTTGACAACAGCTTATTTTAACTGAAATACATAGTTTAGGCACAAGGTGCTTTAAGATGAGATGAAAACTAGCTCTGTAAGTCTATCTCTAAGCTTTTAAAAAGCTCAGTGCACTCTAAGGTTTCTGTTGTCAGTTTGTGTTAAATTGAAGTAAGGTTTAATCCATTGTGGACTTTTCCCAGGTCACATTTTGGAAAATACCAATTCTGGTATTTCTCTCTTATCCTTCTACTTACTTTCAAAACAAAACGTTTCAGCTAATTTTGGTGCTGATTTTTTTTTCCCCCCACAGAGTATTTATTAACCAATATACAGATAAGAGTTACAACTCTGTCAAGTTTGCTTGACTAAAGCATGCTTTACACTCGATTTTAAAATAAATTAATATATAAGTTGTTTAAACCTCTGGAAAAGGCAAATGCACTAAAATTAGATTTGACAGAGAACCTAAGACTTTGCTATAAAGAATTATACCACAACATAATCCATGGTTAAGATCTGAATCTTCAGCAATTTCATGATTATTGATGTACTTTCATTCTCCACCTGGATTACATGTTACAAATAATTTTTAAGGAAAGTTTTTTTCTCCTTCCTGAAAATCTTTTATAGTTTGGAAAGCATTTTTCATAAAAGCTATACTGTATAAAAATGTAATCAGAGAATTTAATGTTTGTTTTACCAGAGAAATTTAAATCTTTTTAGTTACATTCAGGATTTTTTTTTAGTTACATTTCTCCTCTTCTGATTTTCTTACTGTAAAGCTGAATTAAAAATTAAATAAAATGGTTGTAATCTCTTTGAAGACCACTGTAACAAGTAGATGGGTTTGTGTGCCAGAGATGAGTTTTTGGCATGAGATACACTGAAACCTCAGGTTTGAACAAAGCTTATCCTGGAAGGGAAGTTCTGCTGTGACCTGAAGCCCTTGTGTCCAAGCTTAAAGTTCCTAGAGTGATTGACTTCTCACCACAAAAAATATAAATCATACAGGAAGGATACTCTAGCTTGAAGGTCACGTGAAAATAACCTCCCTGTCCTGTCTTCTGCCAGGACAAAGCACCCTGGAGAGCCTCCCCCGTTCAGAACCATGTTACACGTAGATATCAAGCTCTTAGAGATGGGACAAACATTCCCAAAGGTACTTACTTGTTAACTTCCCACCGAAATAAATGTGGGCTTGTACTATCCTTGTTATTTATTCATGTTTCAATAAATGAATCCCTTAATATTTTGTATTTTATCTTGAACTTTCTTAATGTTTACTAAATAGTGTACCCTGGATGGTGGGTGGGACTCTACAGAAGAGCCTGCTGGCTGTGTCGTGAAGAATCAGTCTCAACCTTAAAAGTTGTAATACAAAACATGACTTTTGTAACAATTTACTTTTAACTCAGAACTGGGCCTCAGCCTCTAGGGCTATCTCAAACTCACTGTCACTGCAACAGATTCCTAGTTAACTGGTGTTTCAGCTTAAAGGTAAGGAAAACTATTGTTGTGTGTCTTTTTTTTTTTTTTTTAATCACCTGTCCAGGTACAAAGACACAGCTTTAATGTGGAGGAGATTATTGGAGCTCAGAAATGGTATACATTGTTCAAGCCTGTGCTCTCCTCAGGAGTGCTGGCAGTCAAAACAGTTCTGCACAGCACTGAAACAGCTTAGGCCCAGCTCAGAATTGCACTTCTGAAGCAAATGTCAAGTTGGTTTCCTGCAGTGAGTCAAGCTTTATTTAAAAAGCAGAGTTTTGCTCTGTCTAAAACCAGATTGGAGATATTCCACCCACTAAGAGTTGATAAGAGAACCAAAACAGAGCCTGGTGTGTGTGCGTGGTGCAGCTGTTCCAGGCTCAGGGCCTTGTTTCTTATGCTCTGCTCCTGGGGCAGCACAGCAAGTGCTGAGGAGATGAGCATTTTTTTTTTGACTCATTCTAGTTACCACAGCGGAGGAGGAGGCTCCCAGAGGGCATTACAGGCCAGCTCAGGACTTTGCTCTCCTGCCATTAAGTACACAGATGTAGCTTCTACTAAAGCCTGCAGACACAGGTTAGCGTGTTATGAACTGAAGGCCATGCACACCTGTAATAAAACATATTAGTTATTTCCCCATGCACAATCACTCCTTGCTGAGGTAGTAGGAAACAGAGTTTGCTTGTGTAAAATCCACCTCCCATGTTCCCAGCAGGGTCAAAAGTATACCATAAAGTTTGAAGAACAATATTTTATTTAATACAACAGTATTCTATTTTATATATTTACACAAAAGCGTGCAAAGTAAATTTTTTTGAGAGGAAAAGAATGCATTTCATTGCAAGAGTAACCATAGGTAAACCAGACCATGCTGAAATTGGAACCTCCTAACTCAACAACACAGGACATTCAGCATCTTGGCCCCCAAACTGCACTGGTACAGAGGAGCCCAACAGCAAGTGAGGGGTAGGAGTAACTGTCCAAGACTGCTATTTCTGCATAACAAAGTGTGACACTGATCTCTGCGGTAGTTCTTAGAGGAACAGGCCTGTGCTAATGGCAGATAAACTGTCTCCCAAGATAAACTGGAAGCTACAGAATTTATATGTAGGTTATGCATAGCAGGTTTAGGCCTGTAGGAAGCACCATGTAACAGCTGGATACTTGCCAAGTGATATGTTCCACAGCTTCTAAGGATCAGAAACTTTTGCCAGCTTACTTAATTATTTATAAATAATTACTAATGAGAATAAACTTTAAATCTCTTCCAGCTACCACATTATAGCTTTTTGCACTTTTACGTGTAGTATTTCAAGGGAAGCAACAAGTGGGGCAAAACTTTAAATAGAGTTAAGAGTTGACAAGGAATTCCATGTTGAACAACAAAGCTGAAAAACCACCAACTACAAACAAAACCATACCACAAACCCCAACCATCAACATGTTACACCCAACTCTGTTTGCTATAACCAGGATAAATGCAAGATACTGAAGAGAACAGGTATTTGCACATCTTCAGTGCTGATGGTGCAGAATTTAAATTTTGGACACCAATGTAGAAGTAACTCCATACTAAACATTAGGATTTGTCTGTTGGTCTATTTACTGTTCTTACAGAACCTATGTTTTTGTATTGCATTAATCAACAGGTAGAAAACTAACAACTTTCTTTTAGAATAAGGTTTTTACAGAAGCTTACTTGACCTTTGTGACTGATTCAGAACTGTTTCAAGGGGCTAGAGGTTTTCTTTAGAAGACCATACCACTGCAACAAGTTCTTCCACCTTGATGGGAACATGTTATACTGCAAAATGGGAACAGGTGTAAGCATTCATTAAGCACTGAAGATGAAGAGCTGGTGGTGGTGTTCAGTTTATATTATTTACTCAACATGTAATCGTAGTCCATTCTTGTAAGACTCACTTTCTTAAACCAGATTACTGGAAATGGAATAATAAGTTTTATAAAACATCAGTGATTGCATACCTTAAAGTATCCCTCCTACCCCAGTTTATATATTCCAACTGTACAGCAGAAACCACAAAAGAACTTCTCATCACATTCCGAGAACATGGTTTATGGACAACTGCTTCAGTAGTGCATTACTTTGTAGCACCTTTTTCATGGAACAAGGTAAGAGATTGAACAATTCAGAAGTTTTCTGAAACTGCAATCCTTAGCAAAAGGAGTGAGACTCACTCTATATTTTACAACAAGTTTGAGTTATCACACCTAGAGCTGGGATTGGGCAGTTTGAGCTGTTAAGAATCACCTCTCTCAAGTTTTTCTAGGAAACTTCCATTTTCCTCACTTTTCCCATTCCTTTCCCAGCAACCCGAGGGGACAGCAGGAAGCCTAGCAGGCAATGTTTGCTCAGAATTGCACCAATAAATCCTGTCTTCCAGGCAGCAGAGTGATGGAAGGACAACTTGCATCTGCTACAAAAGGGGTCAGTGCATGAAGCCACTTCAGCCTCTTGGCAAAAATCACTATTAAAATGCTCAGCTGGCACATGGCCCTTGGCTGGCACCACCATGTAGCACAAGTGATCTTTATGTAACAAGTACAAACCTGAAAAATTAAAATCTTCATTCAGTTAGCAGAGAAAGATACCTATGCAACAGAAATACTGAAGATTATTTAAACAGGATTACCTAAAAACAAACCTCTGAAACCTAGCAGATACAAGTTTTGTGTTGCATTTAAAGATAGATTAAAGTATATTTATCCCTAATTCAGATTTATAACACTGAATATACGCTTCTATCTTACGTTCTAGTAAAAATCTAAGCTCTTGTTGTGAGTTTACAGAACAATCTATCGCTTTGCAGTACATTATAGTCTTCAGTATAGAGCAGCTTCCATATGAATACTGCTTCACTTGTTAAAAGCCAAAATCATCTGTTAGCTGACACCTGACATGAGTGAACACGCACACACAGGACATTTTCTAGGTAAAACTTGTACCTGCTAAAATGTATGTTCAGTCCAGCTTCATACAGCCCAAGTGGTTACAACGCAACAATTTAAGCAGAGGATTTTTTTAACAGAGTTAAAGAAGTGCTTCCAACCCAGCCTGTCATTACACCAAACCACCAATAGATGCAGTTAGTATGCATTTTTGTCCTTTCCCTACTAGGTTTAGCTAGGAAATAACATCGCACCTCCTAACTGGAATTACTCATTGCTATGAAAAAGTCCCAGCACTGTCAAGAGTTACCAGCTCCGAGACAGTCAGTGTTCTGGGTTCTTAGTAAGGTGCAGTGAGTGCACAAAGGCACTCGATACCAGTTGCATACAGTAGTTTCACTTTAGAACAAAGGAGACTATAATAAAAAGACTGGTCATGTAAAACACTAAATTTGGCCCAGAAACTCAGTCAAGACCAAGCTAGTGTTACCAGATAACCTGTAAGTGTGCAAAACCATGGAGAATGTTCACTTATCTTGATGCTACAAGCTAAATCCAGACACAGTCAGGTGCTGAGCGTTATTCCTCGCTTCAAAGTAAGAGGTATCAGTTTCATCATCTGGCTGGGGTATAAACGGCATGGTTTGATTCTGCAGATTATCCCAGTCCACACCATGAAAGAGGGGGTGATGTTTCAGCTCTGGAACAGAAGTTCACGTAAGCATTATAAACTTTCTCAGGCACTTTGTGCCCTTATGCATAACTGTCACTAGATTTGCTCTATATTGCTTTTTAGAAATTCATAGAAGGGCAAATTGCAACTGGGCTTTGATTACCCCCAATCTCAGTGGCATCAAACTGTTGTCCTGCCAACTAGCTGCCTTCCCCTGTCTGGGGACCCTGTTCCACACAGAGCAGATCAGAGGTGTCCCAGAAACATTTCTCATGCTGGGGCACCAGAGAAATTCTAAGCATCACTTCAAAGTCTGTTTATAATTTTACCAAAGTTCTGTGCTTCTGAGTAGACACGTGGGAGTCACTCCCACCTGTTGCCACTCCAGGTCCTCTTCCTTTTGCTGTCTCATGGATTTGATTCCCTCCTCTGCTTTGCACAGTCCCCTTTGGCCTAACACCAGACACGGAAGTCTAAATGCCCTTACGGTGAAGTTACCACAGACCACCAGACTTTACTTTCCCAGCCTCAAAATGGGATAACTAACCAAGTTCCCGGACTTTCTGACTCAAGGAGAACTCCCCTGCCCTATCCATTCTGACCAAAAGGTGACCTCCTGGCATGAGGTTCTGATATCAATTCTGCATAACCTGGAAACACCACTCCCTGATGAAAATGACTTTGCTACTTTGATTCAATCCAATAAAACACTTCTTTGTCTAACTGGGATACAAACCCATGTTTTTATCACCTGCACCACAAAATTCAAAGGCAAATAGAAAAATAGGACAGGAGAAAAAAGTTTAAAAAAAACCCCAAAACACATTTGGAAGGAGGTGGAAGTTTGACCAAGGCACTCATCACAAATTTTTCACCTAAGCACATACCACACGCTTTTAGCTGATAGACAGGAGGACATTAACATTTATTATTTCTGCATTTCCTGATCAAAATACAACAACACAACATGAAGCGTTTATTTCAGACAAAAAGGCAGAGTGAGTCTTAACTCCTTCCAATGGTTTCAGCAGCCACACAAGCAGCAGGGCATTGCACAGATCCACTATCTCAGAATTGTATGTAGTTCTGCTCTTAAGAAAGTTCTCATGCACCAGAAGCTGCCTTTGGCCAAGAAGGCATAAGCAAACTTCTTTGTCTTTTCCCACAATATTCACATGTACCACAGCTGGCACTCAGCTCCTGCTCACAAGACTGAAGAGAGGAGTGAAAACCAAACCAACACCAGATATCAGTGTTGTCTGCCAAAACCCACTTTAAAGCTGCTCTTATCTGGAGAGACTGAACTCACAGAAGCACAGCAGCAGGACAGGACATAACTGGGGTTTCTCAGTACCTAAGGCTTCATGCTATAACAATAAAAAGAGAGCATGTGTTTTGGGGAGGGGAGAGAAGATGACAGCAATGGAAACTTAGGTACAATGAGAAAGACTTAATGGTTGTCCTGAAAACTACTCATCCAACTTCACATCAGTGGCCTATAAACTGGACAAAGAGATGGGATACAGTTATAAGGTTTGACAAAGAACAAATTTCCGAGAAGGTCAGATTGGAAGAAACCATTATGTCATCTAGATTAAATTTCTATCCTTGACAGGCAATTAGATTTCACTCCAAAACCCAGGAACAAAGACAATAACTTGTGTCTAACTAGAACACCTTCAAACTGCTTTTTGGGAGACCATAGAATTTTCTGTTGACATCATGATCTTCATTTATACTCCTGTGCCTTCTCTAATTTGATCTGGCCTGGTTTTGGCTTCTAGTATTTTAATCTCCTTATGAGTAACCATTTCCATAGTCATTTCCTTCTCTAGTGATTTCTTGCACAGTTCTCTCATAAGATTTCTTCACCTATTTCCAAAACATCCCACTCTAAACTTCTTTTAAGTTATTAATGTTTTTTTTATAAAACATAGTAACTGTTAACAACAACAAAGGTTGAAGTCCTTCTAAGAGGGGAAAAAAAATATATGTAGACTTTGTATAGTATATATTGTCCAACTCGTCTATGCATTCAAAGACAGGCTGATTCCCAAGTAAAAACTCCTTTGAATTTACTGTTGTAGGAGAATTCTCTCCCAAAATGGAGCCAAAACAGGCTTTAATCAAAGTTCCCAAAAACCATTTAGGTTAAGAACTCCAAGTTAGAGTTAGATAAGAGAGGACTTTGGTACGTCAGATGTCAAACACTAATCATGCACTAAACCTAATCAGGCATTGAAGTTTATTAGTCTAAGTTTCAGGAGGAGGACATCACCACTTTGAAATCTGCAATTAGTTGCAAAGAACACACTTTTAATACTAACCTTTCAGTCCAGCTCTCTTAGTAGTGTCAATTGTTAGAAGAATATCTATTGCATTTTGGGCATTATCAGACAGCTTTTCTTCACCCTCAGGCCAGGGAATATCTACAGACAAAGATGAGTTGGTAACTCAAACCATAAAACAAGTATTGGAAATACATAATTACCCTGATTACTGAAACAGATTACCTCTTTTCAAAATATTTTGGAAAACCTGTGCTGGTGTTTCATCATTAAAAGGTGGAATTCCAGTTAGAAACTCAAACAGACAAACTCCAAGGGCCCACCAGTCTACAGCAGAACCTGATAAAAGAAACCCAGGTCATTACACTTACACAAACAGTATTTGCAAAGACTTGAAGATTAGCCATGGAAGAAATTGAAGAGTGTTTAAATACTACAAATTTCTTGAAAATGAACGAAGAGACAAAATAAGTTGTATTTAATATTCATGCAGATTAAAAATACATTAAAGGTTTTTTAAAGCCACTCTGCTCCTTAATTCATTATAGATAACACTGAGGTTACTGCTAAAAGCTAGGGGACTCTTAATAACAATCTAATTATCAAATTCCATGATAATCCAAGAGCTGACTTCTCCAAGAGACTGTTTTGTCACACGAAACAGCTGCCTAATGTCTGCTCTAGACCTGGATGAGTGCTCCATGTTGTAGCCTGTATCTTCCTCTCGGTTCTTTGAGAAGACTCCAAGAATTCAAACTATTGAACATAAATTTTCATTTGCCTAAATTTATGTGAATGTCTTGAAGACAACTTCCAGAGATAAGCCAGCACACAAGAAGCTGGAATTACTTTTCATTAGGGTAATGTGTAGTTCCTAGCTCTCTCTCCTTTGTAATGAAATATAGTTTTGGTTTTCCACATTGCAGGGTAGGTTTTTTTGCCAATTCCCTTTTTAATAATCTACACAAAAACAACCCAGCAAAGCAATCCCAGACACCGCTGCATGCATTCTAAGCCTTCTGCATGTTTAAGCCATGCCTGCTCCACAGTATAAAGAACAGATGCCAGAACAGATGCTGTAAAATATCATCTTTGAAAGGCAGTAAGTCTAATTGCTCTTGGATTTTTTTGCATATCAAAAACATTAAGACACTTCTAAGTTCAGAAAACAAATGTTTTGAGCCGTTTCACGAGGACTACTGTTACGTTTAGAGATACTGAAACCCAAAATGCGCAACTAGTAATCTAATGCACTTTTAGCAACTTGAAAGAGCAGTAAGAGTGGCCCACCAAGCCAAGCACATCGCAGCAGTGAGATCACACTCACACTTGTTAGAGTACTTGGATGTTCAGATACAACACTCCCAGCTCCAGTCAAAGTCTAATAAGATCACAACTCTAAACAATGTAGTAACACAGCTTTCAGCAGAGATTTTTCTACTTGAAGTTTAACTAAGATTAGATTTACTACCATGTATCTCTGCTAAACAGAACCCAAGGAACAGCATAAAGTTATGTCAGGGAAGGTCTAGGTGTGATATTAGGAAAAAGTCTTTCACCCAGAGGGTGGCTGGGCACTGGAAGAGGCTCCCTGGGGAATTGGTCACAGCACCAAGTCTGACAGAGTTCAAGAAGTGTTTGAAAAATGCTCTCAGGCACAAGTTGTGATTCTTGGGGTGTCCTGTGCAGGGCCAGGAGTTGGACTTGGTGATCCTTGTAGTGATCCTTGTAGGTCCCTTCTAACTCAGGATATTCTATGATTCTATGACTTGAAGCAAGAAGCAGAAATATGAGGTCTTGAGCATCTGAGCCTTCTTCACCCATAGATGAAGTAAATCAGACTGACTACATAAACTAAAAGAATGAGAAGTGTCTCTGGTTTACCCCCACAAGTTCTTTAAGAATGCTGACTTTCCTTCTGAAGTATATGCTTACATGTATGATTCCTGATAGCTTAGTCACACTGGCACTGATGTTTCCTGAACCTGTGTGGGAGCATCACACATTTTTATGTGGAATGCATATTGGACATGTTTTTCTATATAAGAACATTGTTCACCCAAACAATGTTCTTGGAAATTGTGATCTAATTATACTTTGACTGTTCAATTATGCTGAAGACTTAATTCCTGCACGAAATATGAAAACTCACCAGAGATCAGAGTCCCTGCATATGAAAAGACAACGAAGTAAGAATATTGTTACCAAAAAAAACATCTAACAAATATAAACATCAAATATCACATATGATTCTCTGAAAGCATAAGAATGCAGGTTTTTTTATTAAGGTAGTAACTCCACAATAAAGAAAGATGGCAATGTTAAATCTAAGTTAGAAACAGAAATAAAATAATTTTGTAACGTGATTAATTTAGGATTAAAACTACCTTTACAAGCATCTCAACAACACAGGAAGTGCTTAGTGAAGGAAAATTTGGAGTTCCAAAGCCAGAAAACCATAGCTTCACTGAAGGTAACAGGGAATGGCAAAAGCTAAGCACTAATGATTTTTGAATAGTTCACTATCTTATTACTTGAAGGGTTTTCAGTTCTAGAGAAATGTAAATATGTCACCTTTCCAGCACTGACAAATGGCTGGTTTGTCTTACCATGAGGCTTTGTCAAAAGCAGCTCCGGTGCCAGGTAGTCTGGGGTCCCCAGGATGCGTTCACCTTCTACTGGGGCAGCTCCTCTTCTTACACTCTTTGGAGTCCGATAGGGTGTGCCAGCATCCCCCTGACGAGGCGTCTTAAAAGATGCAACAAAGATTTCAGATGTGAAACAAAACCAGCTGAGAAACTCCCATCTCCAGGCTTAGTAATGGATATAATAGTTGATACTCAAGTTTAAGTCAAGAATATGTCACAAACTATTTCCTGAAAAGTGCATGTAAAATGTGCTTCCATTGCCTTATCTCAACAATCTTGAAGCATAAAGTCAAAATGCCTATTCTTCAAGAAACTTATTCTTAAGTTCTTCTTCCTGTGTGAAATCCACAGCAGCTATTACTGTTTACATCAGTCTTTGCAATAGGCTTGTAACTGGCACTTGACACAGTATACCATTACTTTTTCCAAGACAAAAAAAAAAGGAAAATAGTGGGCACAGTGGCAGCTACCAGCAGCTGAACAGCATTTGCAGACCGTCTTGGGAGGGGTGCAGGATTAAAAAAATAGAAAAAAATAATCAAAGACTTCCCATTACATCAGGAAACCTATAATTGCTCAAAGGAAATACCACACTGTACTAGAACTAGAATGAGATAAAAATAGTACAGGCTTTTCTTATCAGTTCACTGTAACAGCAATGGATTTCTCAAAGAGGTCAACAGGCAATGCCTTTAGAGCCACAGGCAAATCAATGAACAGTTATTGCTAAACCTTACAGAAATTATAATTTTGGCCACACAAATGCAGTAAGAGAAAGTCTGTCAAAGTGACTTTTGCTGACAGGCTACCTCAAACTACTTGAGTTTTCCCTAAATTTACAACTGAAGTAATTTCAGGTTTCTAATGGTCCAACGCATGCACGAAATTTCCATGTCTCCTTACCTACCTGATAGGCCTGATACAGCCTTCCTTTCTGGGATGGAGTGATAGCTGTTGGGTAAGAGCCACTACAAACAGGTGAAAGATCCATTATATCTAAAGAAGTCATGCTACACGGCTCAGATACATTGGACATATTAATTGGACTATTGTAACTTCGAAAAACAACAGCACTTTTTTTAAAGAGACTCAGAGCTTCCATCATCTTTTCTGAAGGAGGAGATACTGTGTTAAGGCAAGCTCCTTCCCCGTGTTTCTGGTCATTATTCTTTTCATGATGTAACAGCTTGCAGTCCTGGACTGTATGTGCTTCCTCTCCACTTTGTGGGGCATCTTGGGACTCTGGCGACATTATCAGCACGCCTTCAGGTTGTGGCTCCTCAAAGGAGAGGTCTTTAACGCTTTTGTCCAAATCTAAAAGCTGCTTTTCTAAATGGCTTTCCGTGACAGACATTTCTGTAAATACATCAGAATCTGCACTGAGGATCCCTAAAGGTTTCTCGTCGTCAGTATCTAAAAAACTTGAGTTCATGTACTCCTTTTCATCATCCTTTCTGTAGTCTGCATCCAGATCACACATAAGATTTTTGGCTATAGTTGGAGTAAGGGATCTTTCTACTGTTTGTTGTTTGCTAATAGAACACTTCACTTCCTCCTCACTTCTGCAGGTGTCACGTGGGCATCCATCATTACAGAGCACTAAGGATTGAATTTCTGTTGTCAAACCTGTCCTACTGTTTGCTGGAAATTCAGAGATCTGACAGCCACGTTTATATTCTGCGTTGCTTTTTTTAACATAGTTAAGTTCCTGACAAGGACTGGTATCAACTAATTCAAAGCTTCTTTTAACACCTGGTTTTTCAAAAATTTCTTCCTCTTTGAAAGGCTCATTCTGCCTTGAAGATGACTGCTGTGGACTGGAATTTTCTGCTGTTTCATTAGTTCTCTCTCTTTTATTTACACAGACTTCTTCTTCCCGAGTCTTTTCAGAAATACATTTTCTTACTATGCCTTTCACATCCAGTGTGGTCACAGGAGTATCTGTTATATTCGAATGTTCGCTTCCCAACTTCTGCCTACAGCCAGAATCATTTCTGACAATGGGAGAAATAGCAGACTCAAGTTCTTTTTTCTTTAAAACTTCCATACTTTTGCTATTTGGCAACTCAACATTTGAAGGGAGAGCCGACCCACTGTTACTTGTTTTGCATGTTCCAGAACTAGGTTCATCTTCATTGTGCTGCAAATGAGCATATTAAGCTTTAAGTATCAAGAAAAATAGGATTACAGCACTATAGAAATGTGTCCTCTGAAATTCTTGATTTTCACTTCCATAATGAAACTCAGATTTGCAAGCATCACTTATTCTAACCACTACTAGTGATGAACATAACATAATATTTAAAAATTAAAAAAAAAGTCAAAACCAAATTAAGGATAACTTGATAATTGGACTTTTCTTAAGAACATAAAATAAGCCTGCTAGAGTACAGTAGAAAATGCAGTATTTTTAAATGCCTAAGGATGAAAAAAATACAGCAATTGAAGTTGTATTTGTGATTTTATGTTAAGAAGTTAAGCTACAGAAGTTTCCAGTTGCTAAGAAAGCCCAAAGCAAAGAACTCCATCATACTGCCCTGTGGCATATTACACTTCAGAGATGACAAAAGGAAAACCTGATATTACTAATATTTTGATAACACACTAATAAAACCAAGGCCTTGAGAAACAGACAGATAAATAGAAAAACCAGACAAATAAAAAGAATTATGAATTGTTTTAAATCCAAGTTTTTCTGCACAATCTAAATAAGAATTATGGCAAAAGACTACAGAGCAAAGGAGCACTTTGGTTTAGGTCTGTATTTGTAGAGAATTTCATTTAAAGTTTAAAATAGGAGAAAATATTTTGTATCAGCTACAATTATTGGTGTTAGGTTAGTTGATACAAAATTCCTCAGTAATGAAAACCTTAAACTCTTTCGTTTTAACAGTTAGTAGAAGTTTAAAGTGTATTTTCTTTATTATTTTCCCAAGTTGCAGTGTTTTAAAGAAATAAAGCTCTAGGGATAAGATCAACTTCCAAAGTGCTCCCAGCATCGGCCACCTGTGCAGGACACAAACCAGTGATGGCCAGTAGAAGCCTTCCTTTCACTGCTTTGCTGCAGGCTCTAACATCTGCTTTTCCTGTTATGTTAGACAGGACTAATATTTGTTTGAAGAAAAAACTGTATCAATTTGATCCAAAATCCTACTCAACAAGAATTACCAATCCCTGCTCCTTTTTCTACACTTGAAATAAGTGTAAGTAAGTAGAGGAGATTTGCAACACTGCATACACAAGTACAAAGTAATTTTAACTTTTAGTGGGAAGATGAAACAGTCCTGACCTCTACGTCTTTCTCCCACCTGGGGCTGCTGCAGCATTCTGATTCCACACTGGACTGGTGAGTGTGTGACTCACTACTAACACTGCAAGCACCAAACCTCTTTCTTGACTGAAGCAGAGTAGGAGTCAAACTTCTTGCTGGCATCACAGGCGTTAATTGAGAATTATCAAGATCTTGAGGGGAAAAAACAAATCAAACGTTGATAAAAGTTGATACAAATTGACCAGGTTCACACTACGTCAAGCTTTCACATCCAAGGAACTTATGGAAAGCTTTCTATGACAACATAATTTCTCTTGTCATCTTTCCCACATAGTCAATTTACACTTTTTTTGAATTAGGGAGTTGCCAAGAACATAAAAGCAATATTAATATTACCAGCATAGTCACCTTCTTTCTCATTTCAGGTTAGAAATGAGAAAGCAGCAAGGTAAGACAATTTAAAGGAAAGCACTCACTGCTACATTAAATAATTTTCAATGATAAAATGTCAAGAACTGACACTTTTCTGTCGTGGTTTTGAATTCAGTGGTTGTGATTTGAAAAAAAACCCCAAAAAACATCAGAAGATAGCATAAGTAGTGTACGTGAAAACATGTCAGACGAAAAAGCACACTTTTTATGAAGTGGGTCCAGAGTACTCACATAAAATTAAAAGACCACAACCTTAGAGCCAGAGTATTCCCTCAGCACAAGGCTTGGTATACTCACGTGTTTTGAAGAATTTAGTTGAAAGAGGGGTATTTTCCTTTTGGACCACAGGTAAGGGAGAAACCACTCCACGCAAACTGTCGGACGATTTACTTGAATTGTGCGCTGGCATTTTCATTCCAACAGGAGAATACTAACAAGCAGGCAGAAGCATAGTTAAAAATAAATGGAGTCTGAACAAACAGTCAATCCAGGAATGAGAACATGACTTCACACATTTGTTATTATGTTTGCATTGGAGTTTGGCCATGCCCATTTACCACACCTTGAAGCACAACTGATAGTCAGCAATTCAAAATACAGACCAAGGTAATCACTTCAGAATTTTAAAGTACTGGAAATATATAATAAGTTAATTCTCCCAGCTGGCAGAAGAGATGCAAAAATAGCCTTATCATGTTGATTATTAAATTTAAGATAGGAAGTAAACTAAAAGAATTATGCACGTCAAAGACAGTGACAATTACTTACAAAGCCCAGAGAACTGATAAGAGACAACAATTGTCCTGGAGTACGTGAGTAGTCTTGTTTTGGCTTTGCCATTGATGGCGTAGTAAGGATATCTATCATATTTATCTCTGCAAACAGAAAAAAAAAAACCAAAGAGGCCAGGTTTTCATTTTGCTATTAAAAAATGGCAAAGTTGTAGACATTTACTTAAGTTTTATCAAGAGGAAAAAGAAAAAGTCATATGCACAACAAGCATACAAAAGAAGCCATCAAACCCAACTGAAGATGTGCCTATACATTCTTATTCAACATAAGCTGTTTCTTCCTATACATCCATCACAAAGTTACAGTTTATATATAGAGAAATTGTAAAAGTCCAAATTCTTTTCCAATAGACTATGCTGGAAGTATTAAATTTTCTAACTTGATACCAACTTTGGTTTTTAGGCAGCAGTTCCAGCCTGTGGCCCACAGATTAAGATGGCAAATTTGATTCAAAGCCTGCCATCTCTCCAAAAGACACCTCAAAAAAGCTACAGAAGAACTTTTCATAGGAGAAAATGCAACTTTAGATCCTCTTTTTTTTTTCCTCACTAGCAGTAAGTAGGCTTATAGCTTGCATATCATGTTCAATTAGACACAATCTCTGCCATCAGAACATCACTTAAATCAGTACATTATAGAAAACACAGTATACTTAGGATTTTCCTTCATATTCTTAAAACGATGAATCAGAAACACCATAAACAACTCCGAATTTCTGCATTCCTTTAACTATTTAAAAAAGGTGTACCCACCAGCAGCTGTCTCAAAAAAAACATGAGCTGGTGCTGTGCAGTATAAGTTTGGACAATCTGGCTAAAGGGCTGGAGTTACAAACTAGTTCAGAAACAGGCTATTCACCTTAAGACCTGAAGCCTATTACCTGTGCCAGGCAGTTATTTGGCTATTCAACTGTATTTACTGCTACTTGAAAAGAGAATGTCAAAGCACTCTTCTTCAATCTTCTGTTACAGAGTTAGCACCTCTCCCTGTCCCTCACATTAATGTCTGCAATGTCTCAGCTAATTTGCTGGAAATTAATATAGGTAAGGACTGAGAAACACAAACTGAAGGACAGAAGTAGTCAGAGAAACACCAAGTTTTTCATTTACTCACTGATTTCTCTCTGTGGACTTCAGAAAACTTTGAAATCCATATCCCTCAAGAGAAATGGCTCTAGATCATATTTCATGCAATCTTGTGCCAAAGAATAAATATTTTACCTTCTGAAGTGCAATGTATAGAGCAGACCCTTTACTAGCATGTAGCTTATTGGTACTTGCCTACTAGAAATGAGATATTTGTGCAAAATGTGCACTTATTTAATTGAAAGCTGCCTTCTATAGGGATGCAAAACACTCAAGAATACAGAAATGTGACTCAAAAATACATTCTAATACAACCAAAGGTAGACAACTCTTACCTCTGTTCAGAGTAACTCTGGAAAGCCCAAAGTCTGTCAACTTTATGTGGCCCTGATTAGAAATGAGCATGTTGTCTGGCTTCAGATCCCTGAAAACATGAATATAGTTGGAGTCAGCAAAAAGACCACTGAGCAACACTAAGAAAGTCAAGTGACCAGAAACACTCAATACAAAACATTGGTTATAGCTGTTTCTCAGTAATATCTCTCACCCAGCAAAAGATTCCAATTAGAGGAATACACCAAAACAACTAAACATATCTAACACTAAACATGCTATGAACATCTCAGGCCTTGTAAAACCTCTATGCAGGTCACCAAGAGCGGCACATTTGTGTTTCAGCAGGTTTAACAATTGTTCTTCCTGAGTACCACTATCATAACACTTACTAATGTGCAGCTCCTAAAAGTGACAAGCAAACCTCTAGTGACAGTTTTCAGGTGTGTCCTCTGTATCACTCCTGACTGCAAAAAACTCTCACTACAGGGGGAGTGTTTGGGTAGTCAGTGTCCCTTTGTCCACAGTTACATGTTTGAAGTACCCAGAGGTCCTGAACTAACACAGCTGCTGAGACACCTCTGGACTGTGAAAGTAGGCAGGGGAGAGCAGTGTGTATTTGTCTGCTCAGCACACATGGACAGATTTCATTTTAGGCATTGTTTCATGACATTGCTGCCGTGCACACATGCAAAAAGAGCTTCCAGAAGCTCTAGCAAATGAGGCAGCTGTGGTAGCTGTTACAATAAATTGGTGATTGGTTATGTGATAGAGTGAAGAAATTAAACACACAAACTACCAAATACTTATTTGTATGGCAAAAAAAAATTACCTGTGGATTATCCCATGCCTGTGAAGATAGTCAAGGGCCAATGCTGCTTCAGAAATATACTTAACAGCCATTTCTTCATCAAAATATCCATAAATATGGAGAAGAGATTTGACATCTCCACCAATAAGGTACTCCATCACCTGCCATTCAATCATTTTAAATTTAAAATTTAAAACATTTCAAATTTGCAAGTATCAAAATACAAAATAGTTTTCACCCATAGAAAAATATTATTTCAAGGAGCAGAAGCTGCTAGAAGCTGGATTGTGCAAACTTCATTTCCCACACAATACTTTTCACTTGGATGAAACAATTAAGGCTTCAAATGACAGAGAAGATGAAACATTTTCTTTTAATAGATCATTTGCTTATTTTATTTGCCTGGGCTACTCTCAGAAGTTAATTTAAAAGCTGACTACGGTAGTTATTTGAGAGTTGACTACAGAAAGAGTTCTATACTATAGGAAATGAAATGCAAAGCACTCCTGTGAAACTCAAGGCCTGAAGCCAAAGACCAATGATAACCTGTTCTATACAAATCAAAGTATCTCAATATTTGATTCTGCGAGTACTTATACACAATACTAAATTCACATCTGAGCCTTGCAAAATAAGTACAAATTGCCAGAAATGTATACAGAGCTACTGTGCATTTAAGACAGTGTCTAAAAAGAACACACACAGAGACATTACTATGGCCCAGGTCATATTCAAGATAAAAGACAGCAGGGCTTCAGAAGTCCTTCACCCTGAAGTCCTCTACTGCATGCAGCAGTTCAGAGACTGCAGAAAAAGAAGCCTTTGTTTACGCTCCAAACGCATTGTAGGAGGAGTGCACAGCAACCTCCCCTCAGAACTGGCTGCGTGTGCTTACAGCAATCGAGACAAATTATGCCAGACCCTTTGCAGACAGCCTGAATCCATAGGACCTTCTCTGGAGGCAGTATATAAACTCATACACAAGTCCTCCTGTGCTCCACAGTGCTCCATGTAGACTAGCACTTGGTTTTGCCACTCAGTCTTGTCATGTAGGCCAACTGTCATAATGAGTTTTGAGCACGGGTAAAACAGATTCCCTTTAAGGGAGCCACGGAGTGTCTTTCAGTCATTCGGATTCTGCTTGAACAGAATGGTTTCTTGTTTTTCCTAAGATTTCTACGTATTTCTAAGACATATCAGCTATTAGAAAATAGCTTTTCCTGTAAAAAAGGAGAATGTGGGTGAAAAGGTACCAGGGGAAGAGAAATATTTTACTTGTTGAACAATTCTGAGAAAGAAGAAAGTAAAAGTGACTAAGGAATATCCACTCAGTACTATAAAAATGTTTCTAGATATCACTACACTTCACACTCCATTTTCAAGACAATCATAAAAGACTACAGAAATTTTTTTACTCACCAAATAGATGTTATTAGCTGACTGAAGTGAGTAGTATAAGTGCACAATGAAAGGACTTTTACTGAGAGCCAATGCATCCCTCTCTGCCTGGACCTGGTGAACCATGTTTTTGTTGATCATGTCTGCTTTTTTCATCACCTGAAAAACAAAACAAAATCAAGTAGATAGACATTCCTTTATTTGCTAAACTTGCAGTTCTTCAGTCAATTAATTTATCTATATATTTAAAACTTGCATACATGAAATAGATCTGTGACTTCATAGACAGAGAAAATTTTAAACAACGGGTTATTAGACAACCATTTCCACTGTTCTCCTAATTCAGTCCTGAATGGAAATCACACTACCAAAGATTTACTACAATTGCACACACTGGAAGATAAGTGTTTAGGCTGCATGCGAAATTAAGCTGCACTGAATTAAGCCTCTTATCCACAGTACACAACTCAGAACCATGAAAAACTGTTCAACACTTAGAGAGGCACTTGCTGACCGAAGTCTTTCTTCAGAAGCTGAGATATAAGAACAGAGATTGAAAACAGAGTGCAGCAGTAAGCCATCCCATCTTGGTATCTCCAAGTGCAAGACTGCAACTGTTCCAGCCTCTAATTCTTAACTTTGCAGAGAAAGCAAGAAAATTGTAACTTTTAATTTAAAGAAAAACTAAGTCATACACAAAAAATTTGTTTCTTTGAGAAGGAGCCTCAAAGGTATGCAACTCATCACAAAGAAATAATAAGCTTAATTGTGATTTAGGCTCCAATTCCTGCTTTGAATTACTCCACTCTGTGATAAGCTCAGTCAATATTAACCCTGAACAGAAGATGCACAATAGCACAGCTGGCAAGTATTTAGGCAAGTATGGCATATGCATTAGAAGTTTGCCCACTCACACCATCTTTTTTCAGATATATATGGTGATAATAAAGCAAGTTTAACTTATCCATTCTCTATGCAACATAACTGTAAAAAGTTGAAAAATTTGCTCAAATTTGATACTTTCAATGTAAATGTTGACCTTAGTTGTAAAAATATTTAGCATACATTAAATTCAGTAGTTTGAATAACCCATAAGTCTCTCTGCAGTAGGGGTAAAGGATTTCCACAAAAGCTTTTAGGTCACAATACTTTCAATAAACTAGAGTATGATACTAAAGTAACACAATTTAACCACTCTATATGCAGCACCTAAACCACAGAAAGTTACTTTCCACACCTATCATCACTATTATCAAAGATGATACCGAAAAAATTCCAATTCATACACAGAATGCATAGAATTACACTTCTAATAACTTGTGGCCTTAATAAACATTTAGCATATGTTAAATGTTGTTGTCGTGAACCAGTCATAGACCTCACCGCAGTAATGATGAAGAACTTACACAAATGCATTGATCTCAAAATCCTTAGAGGAAAATAGTGTAAACAGACACACACAGCTCTGAAGAACAACATCTATTTTGCATGACTAGCTTTACCTTTCCTCTTCTTTGTGTACTACGCAGTTTGTCATAATCCTTTTACTAACAAAGTCAGGCTCGCACAAATCATCAGTAAAGTTTTTACTGCTGGCAGACTTAGATTTTAGCCTTCTGTGGATCAACGTAGAAAACACGACAGGGTATTTGTTTGTTTGTTTTAATGCGTACTGGGCAACAATGTTTTGCATGATTTGCTCTCGTCACTCATCTCAGAGGCGGTGTCCGCAGCCCCGGGCAGCCGCGGGTGCCCAGTTAGGGCAGCTGTTCACAGGGGAGAAGCAAAGCGCTTGGCGAGGCTTTTCGCGCAGTTCCCTCGACTCTTAAGGTACCTCTACAAGCCGCCGTCATTACCAGAGCCCCCCTGTCAGAAGCCTCGGGGCCGCGATGACAGTGGAGCACAGCCCTGCGGACAGCGCGAACCCGGCAGTGCCCGAGAGCAGCTCCCTGAGAGCCGGAGCCCCGGCTACCCCCCGAGAGCCCGGGGGGGCTCCCACGGCGTCTGCTCCCCCGAGAGCCGGGGGGGTCCTGCTGGGGACCCGGGGCCTCCCTATCCCGCCGGGACGCTCCCTTCCCACACGGGGTTACTCGTGAGCAGAGCCGGCAACGCCGCGACCCCGGGCGACCCCTCACCTTCACGGCGTAGAGCCGGCCCGCCTTACGGCCCAGGTACACCTTCCCGAAGGCGCCGCGGCTGATGGGCTTCACGATGGTGAACTCCTCGATGGAGGGGGGCCGGGGGACCTCGACGCGCCTCGGGCCGGCGGCTGTGGTAGCAGCGGCGGCGGCATCGCCCCCCGGCTCCTCAGACCGCTCCATCCCCATAGCGCGACCCGGCCCGGCCCGGCCCCGCCGCGATTCAAAGCGGCGCCGGCCCCGCCCCGCCCGCGCCGTCACCAACGGGCCCGGGGCGCTCTCGCGAGAGCCCGCGCGGTGCTGCGCGGGGATCCAAACCAGCCCCACAGCGCCCGCCCCACAGCGCCCCCCCCACAGCGCCCGCCCCACAGCGCCCGCCCCCACAGCGACCCCCACAACGAACCCCACAACGACTTCGACAGCCCGCCCCAGCGCCCCCTCACAGCGACCCCAGCGCCCGCCCCCAGCGCCCCTCACAGCGCCGCCCCACAGCGACCCCCGACAGCGCCGCCCAGCGACCCTCACAGCGCCCGCCCACAGCGCCCCCTCACAGCGACCCCCGACAGCGCCCGCCCCACAGCGCCCCCTCACAGCGCCCGCCCCACAGCTCCCGCCCCGCCGGGGAGCGGAACGGGGACCAACGAGCGAGGCTGCCATCTGGCTGATAACTACTCGGCTTGTCATCTCGGTTCCCAGTTTGGCAGTAGGCTGTCAGTTGCCACGACCAGGTAGATTGTCCACTCTCCGTGGGAAGCTTGAAGGTGTAGCGATTCAACAGAACTTGGCGTGAGACATTAAAGAACTGGAAGATAATATTTATTTACAAAGAAACGACTGAATTTGGTCCCACATACAAATTTTCTCGTGTCCTTCACTCACATCTGAGTTCAAGAAGCATTCGGACAGCACTCGGGCACATGGTGTGATTCTTGGGGTGTCCTGCGGAGGGCCAGCAGCTCCCAGCAGAGATCCTGTAGGGTCCCTTCCAATTCAGGATATTCTGTGATTTTGTCATACTTGCATACTTGATAGCTCCAAGAGCTGTGCCCAAATGGCACAACCAGGAGGGCTTGTGTGTCAGAGAACTCGGCCCATCCTGTCCTTACTGTCTCCTGGTGTTCTCGGGGTTGGTGGTGGCAAACTGCTCTCTGGGCAGGTCTTTTGTGATCAGAAGTTAGATTAGTGTGTTCTGTTGCTTCCCTCTAGTTCCTGATTACTTCAGCTGCTATTTATCTTGGGCAAGGTTGCTCCATGTTTTGTGTCCTTATTTTGGATATCTCCGTGGCTACATTCTGCCTCCCTGTTATGACAGCAGGGGCAGGGATGGCATTTACATTGTGCTCTGACCTTGCTGCTTTCCCCCTGTTCCCACAGCACAGGCCTTCTGACAAAATATTTGTGATAGCGCTTTATTTTATCACAGCACAGGCTGCCTGTTTTGTTTACACAGCACAGCCTTAGGTGTTTACCAGTTTTACTGCACTCAGTTGTGTTCTTGGTCCCTTTTTTAACCCTTGCTCTCCTGCCTTTATACTGCTTTCACATATACATTGCTGTTCATGTTTCATTCACACTGATCTTAATTGTTTTGTTGCAGTCCGTGCAGCAGCAAAGAGCTATTGCTGCAGAGGTCAGTGCAGAACTGGGGGTCTGTATTAGTAAACACAGTAGATTAGTCAACAGGCCCTTGTTTTGCTCTGACACATCACTTATACTGTGATACTGCACAAGGAGGCCATGTACTTGTGAAGGAGAGCTGCTATCCCACAGATTCCAGCAATACAAGCAATTTAATGAGCAGATGTAGAAAATGTTTTCAATTAGCTTTCTGTAATGGTATTAAATACAGTCTATCGTGGCCTGTGTCATTTAACGTTAGTTTAGCTGTATCTCACTGCCCCTGATGGCAGCAGAGAAGCCCAGGTGAGAGCAGGAGGGATTTCTCCTTGTGCTGGTATCCTGTGCCAATAGCAGGTGATGCCAGCTGTGAAACTGCATCAGGCAGCTCATATTCTGGCACAGCCTGAGCTCCTCCGAAAGAGGGCCTACGCCTTCTCTCCTTTCCCCTCAAGGCACCACCGAGTCGTTGCACAGCTACGTGGCAAACTGCTTCATGGGGTGGATCCAGGTAAATGTTCATCAACGCTTAGGTTTTTTTGCTGTTGCCGGGTGAGGTTTCTGCCAAATCAGCAAGCTGAGCCACATGATTGGGATCAGGAGAGTGGTAGTGGAAAACAGAGGAGATGTACAGGAAGGCAGGGGGAAGCAGCGCTGTGGCTGTGCTCATCTAGATCAGTGTAACCTGGTGTGGGATAGCACTTTCAGTGAGGAACAGTGATCAGGTGAAAGAAAGGAAACGGTTGTAAACCCCCAAAATAATTGGACAGAACATGGAAAAAAAATGCACAAGAAAGGAAAAATATCAAAGACCAAATTCTGCCTCATGTAGATCCATCTTAACTGAATGCAAGTAACAGTATGGGGGTACTGATTCTGTCACCGAAAAAATGGGAAATAAACTCTAAACTAGTTTGCTGGGTTAGAAAGTCAACATTACTTTAATCAGTGCTGAAGGTACATGGGGATACCTCCACAAAACATGTACATCGTTATCAAAACTTTTTACATTTTAGCAAAGGAATTAGTGTTCATCACTTACAAGTTACATAGTTCTCGTATTAATTAGTATTTTATCTTATACTGATTAATGATTCTCTCACTTCTCATGCTTATTAGTCCCCATGCTCAGTTTCTTTTGGGTCTGGAGGGGCGATTACTTGGGTCAGTGGTCTGTGGGTCAGTGGTCAGGGATGCCCTTACCAGAATTACCTTTTACCCACTTGGAGCTGAATTTCAGCACAATTACCGAGTTAGTTTTATTAGTTTCTTCCTTATCTTAGGAGTCCCGCCAGATGTCCTGGTTGCCCATAACTTCCGCGTTCTTTCATTATCAGTGGTACATCCCTCTTCCCAAGCCACGCTAATTTCCTCCCCCAGGTCTGAGCGCATCAAAGCATGCCAAGCCCTAATTTTCTTCCAAGACACGGGCACAGAGCTTGCTTGTTAGCCGCTATCCGTTTCACGGATTAAATCTCCCTTATGGTTGATTAAGCCCTAATATTTCCCCCCACCGCTGCACAGGCTCCCTTTTTAAAGAAACACAACTTGCTCGGTAACCATACATAATTTAACGTGTAAAATTCTTCTACGGGCGCGGCACGCTCTTACCCCCCTTGCCCCCAGAGTGTTTTTGGCGCTGGAGGGGCTCCCGCCGAGCGCAGCCCGCGAGGGGCCCGTTCCAAGCGGCGGCCCGGAAGCTGTTCCCGCGCGCCGCTTCCGGGGGGGCGGGCCGGTCAGCGCGGCCGCGGGCGGACATTTCCCGCAGCGGGGCCGCTCCTGCTCCCGGCGGCTCCCGCGCCTCGGCTCGCTCGGCTCCGCTCCGCTCGGCTGGGCGGCGGGGGAGGCGCCGCTGCCCGGCGTGCCCGGCGGGACGATGTTCTCCTTCTCGACCGTGCAGCCGCAGGTGAGGGGCTGGCGGGGCGGCCCCGGCCCGGTGCGGGGCCCGCGCTCCGGCGGGCGGCGCTCGGAAGGCCCGGGGGCTGCGGGGCTCGGCTGGAGGAGCCGCGCTCCGAGGAATTTTGTGCGGGCAGAGGAGCGGGTGGGGGTCTGGGATCCCTCACCTGGGAAAAAGTAAATGGAGAGAGAGAGAGAGAGGTACAGTAAAAGCTTGTGAAGAGTAAAAGCCTTCTGAAATGACGAAACAACCGGAGATGGCGCTTTTTAGTGTCTGTACTAGAAACGAAGGCTGGTGGTGTGTGTTATTACAGCTCAAATTAAATGGTGCTGATAATTGTCATGAGTTGTTGCGAAAACCGAAAAGAAACGACGTAGAGCGTTAGTGGAGAAAAACCCCGTTAATAATTTGTTATATAGAACAGTCTGAATGCAGTCGCGAAGGCATCTGTTATTAGACAGTGAGTTTGATGGCACTGGTGGGTTTTGTGGACTTTGATCTGAACCAGTGGCTTTACTTTTATGTTTTGTGTTAGAGGGATTAGTATGTGATGGTTTTATTCCACATTTATTTTATTTGATTGTTGTTTTCAGTTGTGGAGAATGTGTTAATAGCCTTTGTTAGTGTAGTGAAGTGGAAGAATTTGTACGTTTCTAAGACTATGTAATTAATTTCACCATAGTGGGAAACGCAGGAGGGAAGTTAGTGGTCGGGGTGTTGGCTCTGATCTCTGGACACTTTATGGTTTAATTATAACTTTGGACAATTACTTATGAGGCAGTTTTCATGTCTCACAGCACCGTCTCTCTAGTCAACACAGAGATGAAAGTTCTTGCAGAAGGACATTCACAGACATACCTGATTAAACTTCGGTCAGGTATCATTCCAGCAGCCACAGCTGCACCTCAGCTCATTTCAGTGATAGGTACTGAGACTTTGGAAGTGTTGAAATTATTTGTACCGTATATTCACAAGAGATGTGATCATGTGCTAGAGGAGGAGCCCTGATAAGTGATGCACTTGGGCTTCTGTACTGATTCATGAGGTGGAGTCAGCTGAGAGCTGCTGAACTGCAGATTTGACTGTCTGTGTGTATTAGGTGTGTTGTTAAAGTGAGCTCCCAAGAAAGAAAACATAAAGGCAGTTTTTGGAAATAGCTCTTATAATGCAGGAAAAGTACAGATATTTCAATTTATGAAAGCATTACTTTATAGATAAAAATAGGTGCTGTTTGGAAAACAATACAGGAATCAATAGTACTTAAGAAAAGTGTTCTCTGAATTAGTAAAACGTTTATTAAGCCTCATGATTTAAGGGTGTTCAAAAGCAGCCACTGAGCTTTCTGTTCAAGTTGTTTCAAGGGGAACCAGCTGGATGGGGGTCTCTTGTTTTTTTTGTAACTACACATTGAAGGCAGTCTTTGCATGTCCTAAGTGTTGATGAAATGTATCTGCTAGTGTATTTGCAAACCTAGTGGCTTTATTTAAACTAAACCTGTGTTTGGAAACCAGGAAATACAACCCATTTTGTTTTTTCTTTCCTCTTCCTGGCTTTGTGAGCTTCTAATCTGTCATGTGCATTTAAACTTTCTTTTTTTCCCCTTTAACTAGAGATATCAGCTAACACTGTGGTGTTGAAGCTGAAGTCCTCAGTTAAAAGGCAGTGTACAAGGTCCACAATTAGAAG